GAGACATGTGTCTCGTATTGGTCCATGATTAAAATAAGTGGTCTCTCCTCACGAGCATATCTGATAAAATGGCGGAGTCATTTCAGGAAGAGATCTGAGTCCATGTAACCCTTCTCCTGGATGCCATAGAGGGCGTTGGGGGGCCCATCCAACCTATAGGCATTACTTGGGAGGCAGCCGGGGTAAATGATGAAGGGTGGAATGCTGTCCCCGGCTGCATTCACACAGCAGTGGACCGTGATGTGCTCCCTGTTCGTCTGCTGCTGTTGATAGACATGTTTCCTTCCAGTCTGGCACAGGACCTTCTCCCTGGACCGAGGCTTGTCTCCAAAGTCAGTCTCATCACAACTGTAGAGGAGATGTGGCTTGTTCTCCAGCTTGTGCTTCACATAAAGGACCTCGTACAATTTGAAGAATGCTGGTGGAAAGTTGTTGTGCGATAGACTGCGATACCAGATTCAACAAGAATTCGAAGCTATCGTTTTACAGACTGCCAAAAAAACACCGAAAGGAGAAATAAATGGATCGCTGCACTTCACAGAAAAAAACTGGTATCCAGGCAACGAAACGTGGATTTGCAGTAGTCACTATTGTGTCAGGTAACGTAGACTAACCATGTTCCGTACACTTTTCGCCCTTCACCGCACGCCAGCAACCACTCCTCCGTTGTTGAAAGCCAGACAAGCATGTCTCTGGGGGAATACCCATTGCACAGTCCACACTTTGATTGATGTCTTTTGGACCAATAGTTTTTGAGAAAAGTGGGGAAAAGTACCTCCTCCGCACGTGTACGAAAGATGATAAGCGTTAAAGATGTTCCGTACAGGCTACAATGATGTTCCGTACAGAGCGCATACTTTGATTTCAACAACAAAAATGGACATTTAACGGATCAACTTTGAGCTATTTATTTTAACTGAAGAAAACATTTCAACGAACAAGAAAGGTGAGTACCTTTTTATTTGTTTAAAATGGAAGTTATTTGCTGTTTTAATAAGCTCCATGCGAGCTAGGCCTGATTGTGTCGTGATATTGATTATGGCATGTGGGTCAAGCATGAATCATGTGAAACGTTAGTGAATAACGTTACCATATATTTCTGAAGACAAAGAAGGGCAAACAATTTCAACTGATTCAAAATATTTAATGATTAACCAATGTGAAAACTTCAAAACAAATGATCAGGATGCAGGTGTGTGTGTGTGTGTTTACAACTATTTACATTTAACACTAAACTGATTAAAAAAAAATACCATAACTAGAAATTAACCTGTTCATTTTCTGTGTGCACTATTTACATTGGTGTGTGTGTGTGTAACGTGTGTTTTTATGTGGACAGACAACATTTATGGCAAAGCCAGTCAGTGTCTGGCACTTCCTCCACTTCTGCACACTCCCAAGTGGAACCACAAATGGCACAGATCACACTGGACCCATTCATCAATGGCTTCATCTCCTGAGCCAGGTGGGACCACTTTACAGCAGACAGCGCAGTGTTCTCCATCTTCAGTATGAGGAGGTGCCTGATTCTTTTGCCTTTCGGCCTCCTGGGCTTGTCTTTTTTCCTCCTTCTTTGCCATCTCTTCCTTGCGCTTTCTCTTCTTTTCTTCCTTCTCTTTCTCCTGAGTTTCTTTTTCTACCAGCAGGTCGAAGTATTCGTCGCTGGTGACGACACGGGCTGGCAACGGAATGCGACGCCTCACCTTCTCCTTCCTCTCCAGGGCTGGACTCATGAGGACATTAGCCAGACTCTCAGGGATTACACCTGCTGCCACCAGGTAATTTTTGTGAGCCACTCTATTAATGTTACAGGTGGGGCAAGGTGTTTGAGTGATGATTGATGTGTCAGTAGGTTGAGCGATGGATGGTGTGGTGGGAGCGATAGATGGTGTGGCTGACGGAGTGGCGGCAGGGCTGGATGGTGTGGCGTCACTTCCATCTGCAGATGGGAGCACTCTCACCACCTAAGAAAATAAAACGTATGTAAAACTCATTAACACACTTGAAAAGAAATGGAAGTAGCTTAGAGGATGAATTATCTTTGTATTAATGTCAAAATTACCTGGGTTGTGTCCACAGCAGCCCTAGACAGAGGAAAGATGCCAGCCTTGCGGAACCCGGCCTTGATGTTTTGGGCTGTGACAGCAGTGGGGTACACGTGTTTGAGGAGAGCTGAAAACTGCTTCTTCCCCACAACAATGTCCCCTCGCACCAGACTCATCCTGGAAGCCATGGTGGAGAAAGCAGTCTTCAGTGGGTTTAAGACAGCAATATCGAGGGACTGAAATATGTGTGTGGTGTAGGCAGAGAATTTAAATTTTGTTTTCCTTGCAGTACATGATTACATCTTTTGAGACATGTGTCTCGTATTGGTCCATGATTAAAATAAGTGGTCTCTCCTCACGAGCATATCTGATAAAATGGCGGAGTCATTTCAGGAAGAGATCTGAGTCCATGTAACCCTTCTCCTGGATGCCATAGAGGGCGTTGGGGGGCCCATCCAACCTATAGGCATTACTTGGGAGGCAGCCGGGGTAAATGATGAAGGGTGGAATGCTGTCTCCAGCTGCATTCACACAGCAGTGCACCGTGATGTGCTCTCTGGTCGTCTGCTGCTGTTGATAGACGTGTTTCCTTCCAGTCTGGCACAGGACCTTCTCCCTGGACCGAGACTTGTCGTTAAAGCCAGTCTCGTCACAATTATAAATAAGATGTGGCTTGTCATCCAAACTGTGCTTTACATAGAGGGCCTCATAAAGTTTGAAGAAACCTTCAATGGCCTCCGGTGTAGCACCATGGACTCTGGCTCTATCCAGGGAATCTGCCGTCCGTGAGGTAAATTCTGGATGTCGGGCCTTGAACCTGGACCACCACACATCACTCGGCCCCTTCTCCAAATTCACAGTGGTGCTCTCGGTTCTGCCACTCTCCTTGATGATCTACCAATAGCCAGTATTTTGTCTAGGGATCTAGTTACTGTGAAGCCATGGTCTGCCATCCAGAAAATAAAAGAAACAAGAGCCTCTTCCTCTCCAGGTGTCAGGGCCGAATTAGGATGAGTGTTGTGGGCATATTTATTTATTTTGTAGTCTTGTAGAGTGGTGTGGGGAATACCATATTTTTTTGCTGTTGCCCTCAAGCTCGCTCCTGCCTTCACTTCCTCAACTGTCTTTTGTAACATCCCCTTTGAGTGCTGCTTTTTCTTTCCTGACATCTTTCCCTTTTTCTTAACTGACTTTCCTTTGAAATGAACATGTTATATAATATCATATGTTAACGTTAAATGGTTAGTTCTCCCAAAAATAAAAATTAGGCTGTGTTTTACTCACCCCCGATGCATCCTAGGTGTATATGACTTTCTTCTTTCAGACGAATCCAGTCGGAGTTATATTAAAAATGGTCTTTGATCTTTCAAGCTCTGTCATCGCACTCAGCGGGTGTTGCATTCCTTCAGTCCAAAAGACGTGAAATAAAAAGCGCCCATCCATAAAAAAAGTCTCACACGGCTCCGGGGGGTGAACAAAGGCCTCCTGTAGCTAATCGATGCATTTTGTAAGAAAAATATCCATATTCAAAACGTAATAAGTGCTTGAATCTAGCTTGCGGTCACTGTTGTAAAACGGAAGCAGTTCCGGGGGAATTACGTATGAGGTCAGCTTTGCGCCTGCGCCGCTCAGAAGTGATGAAACAAAACAACGGTCACTAATTAGAAGTACAAAACGAGGATTTGTAAAGAAGAATGTCGG